AAAGGTGAGCACGGGCGCGTCACACCCGAGCCAACAGGTCCGCGTCACAGAGTCCGAAATCCGCGTCACATCCGAGACCCTTTCCCTCGCATGCCCTCAAGGCTACAAAGTTACCCAAACCCAACAAGCATGCAAAAGCTTGCATCGCTACCATCTGGCTGTGGCCTGGGCTGTGGCACAAAGGCTGGCCTGCGGCCCGGAGACTGAGACGTATTTGTACAAGAAACAAAGACATCTACCAGTTGGCTTTGGGAACCAACAGCAATACTTTTACAGTTGCCCTGGCTTGGGAGTGGTGATGATCGATTCTTCAACGTCACAGAGCAAAAGAAAGGTGTGGTACATCCAAAGAAAGACAGGAAAAAAATGCAATGGTCGACCAACCACACACTTGGGATCAGGTATGTCGTTGTGCTCTTTTAAGTTCTCAATATATGTAAGGTGAAGATCACACAAACAAATGGAATGACCTACAACATATGTGTGTGTTACACCACCTTTAAGAACATGCTGAACTACAGGTCTGTCTGTTCAAACCCATCTCAAGTCCCAACGATGATCACTGTACCAGCTCCCACTGACCTCGCCACAAGGATCGCAAGCATCAGCAGGGCGGCCTGGTCCAACATGACGATTAGCGATGACATGGGTGGGCCTCACGGACATCCCACCAGTCCTCACATGTCTAGGGGTACTGTGTCTACAACTAGCCACCTCGAGGGGTGGACGTTCTCAAGCCTGAGAACTTGTTCGATGACATCCGCTTGCATGTAGCCTTTTTGCTGGGGCCGACCTTTGCCGCCCACATCCCCCAATCGCCACAGACTTTCCAAAGCCCCTCCCTGGGCCGCCCGGGCACGTCGGATGTTTCTGCTTGGCGCCTGGCCAAAGGCTTAAAAAGTACTTGTTTTTTGCGTGTCGCGGGGACTGTGACCCTGAGTCCTGAGTCGTTTGAAGTGCAAGTTTGTCCGAAAATAGGGGCCCAACTGAACTTGGCACAATGAAAACTAACCCAGACCCAGCTTTGCAACCCAACAGCAGCTAGCAACTCAATTGACCTGGATGTTTCAAACATTCCAACTATGTGTTCCTAAAGCTCCCAAGCCGAGCCTGAACCCAATAGTAAGTGCAAAGGGAGCTGGAGAGGAGTTGGGTAGCAGGACTTGAGAGCAAAAGCTGGAGCAGGAACTGGACTCTAGTAGCTGGGGGGCAAGAAGAAGGAAAGCGCATCAGACTTGTAACCAGCAAGGGGCTGGGAGACTCCCTGTAGCTCCTTGGTTCCCTGCTTACTGGCGAATATGGCTGCCCCTGGCTCCTGAGGTCCTTCAAGTGAGCACCAACTAGCTAAGTATTACTGCGCAGAAAGTAACGGAGACAGAAAGCGCACCACAAGTGCAACAGCGCAGAAATGTCCTGCTGGGTACGCGCAACTGCCTGTGGCCTTGCTGCGCATAAAACATGCGTTGTGCTGCGGAGAAAAATGTTTCCCCACGCGGACACAATGCACACCACAGGCGCAAAAGCTGTTGCCATCGCAAACATCCTGCCAGGCATGTGCAACTGCCTGCAACCTTGCTGCGCATGCAACATATTTGGCTCTGCATAGAAACACTGCTTCGTAGCGGCCACTACACATGCAAAAACTATTGCAGTTTAAAAACGTCCTGCTAGGTGTGTGGCCTTGTTGTGCGTAAACATGTTTTGCGCTGAATTGAAAAATACTTCGCAACAGAGACACACACGCGCAACAAGTGGCCAGCATAAAGGCGCGTCCTCGCATCCCGGGGCGCCAAAAACCGCCAGACAGACATCGAACCATGTTTCCGTGTTTGACCGGTTTGAGGAAGAAAATGAAGCACTGAAACATGAAACTGGGAGAAAGAAAGCGTTGCTGACCACGCACCGGTCCATCTTTTGCAATCTTGAAGCCTTCGGATCTCATCTCATCTGGTAGTGCAGTTAGGATCAGTTGGGATGGCCTCACTGAAGACCACCTCTTCAGCCGGTCATCGGGCTGATCCAGATTTAATTTTCTGCACCTTGGGCAACTGCCGCTTCATTGATGTAGGCTTCATCATCAATGGTGTCATTGGAGACCATAAGTTCATCTTGCTCCGTAAAAGGAGGTGCCGCTTCCTCATCATCAACCTTGTCAGGAATAGGCGCTCGCTTTGCGATGAAGGCAGCAACGGTCGGCAGCCCAATGAT